CCTAGTCCTGTAGCCGTAGATTACGTGACAACACTATGCATTACCAAACTGTCCAAATAATATGACAATTCAAGAATTAATTGGACCGCAGTCATGCATTATGCATCCATGCATGAAATCTAACTAATCTCGAACGGGAAACTAAGTTTTAATACAATAAAAAACAAAGTACAAATTTAATTTCAATTAACTTCGTACATCACAACACATTGTGCTACGTAACGGACAATTTAATAATATAATATAAATATAATTTCACAACAAAAAATATTAAAATAATCAAATACCTTCTCAATCGTTTTCCACCAATCGCAAATTACAATTATCCCTAAAGACAACGAAATTAATTGCGTTAGTGTGAATTTAAATTAATACTTTCAAACTAACGACTACAAATACATACCTAATGACCGTAGTCAACTCCCAGTATAAGCAGAAGCTGCAGCAGATCCAGAGGTAGGTAGAGCAGAGTTTTTTTTTTTTTTTTTTTTTTTTTGAAGTCTTCCTCTGCAATGGCAGAAACCAGCATATGAAGAAGAAAAGTTTGCGTGACGAAGACATTATTCGTCGCGCAAAAAATGAAAACTTCCGTCGCGCAAACAAGACACTTTCGTCGAGCAAAATCCCAGTTTCGTCACGCATATGTCAAGTTTCGTCGTGCAAAAAATTTCTTCCGTCCCGCAGCTTCGTGCCGACATCCAGGTTTTGCGCGACGCAAAGTTTTTCGTCGCGCAAAGTGTCCTTGCCATTATTGTCGCGCAAAATTAAGAAGCCGTCGCGCAAGGTATGAGCCCAACTTCTTGCGTGACGACCATTCTTATCGTCGCGCAAAAGTTCTCTTTTGCGACGATTTTGGTCGTCGCGCAAGTGTTTGTCGCCAGAGATAAATTTGGGGGGTTGTTATATAACTTTGCGCGACCAAATTTTTTTTTTTGTCGCGCTAAATTGTTTTGTGCGACGACTTTTGTTGTCACGCAAGGTTTTGGCGCCATAAAAACTTTCCTGTGTTTTGTTTCCTCCCTTTGCGTGACGAGAGGATTTTGCGTCGCGCAAAGTTATCTTGCGTGACAGATTCAATTTGTTGCGCATCTTTTTCACAATTTGCGCGACGAATGTGTTTTTCCGTCGCATATTTATCTCTTGCGCGAGGAATATTACTTCGTCGCGCAAAATGCGGTCGCGCAAATAGGAAAACTTAGTAGTGTAAGTAGATAGAAAACTCGATAGTACGATGTAATTTCATTGATAACAAAAAATTAATAATACATCTACTCAAAGGGGGGACATAATAAGCCTTGCCTCTTAAATAACAATATATAAGTTGCACCCTTCGAGTTTTCATAGAATTAAAATCATTAATTATCGATTAATTATCTATATTATCAGCAAATTCTCTTTCATGTGAAGTAATTTACAATCAGCAAGAAATTCATCACCTATCTTATTTCGAAGCCAATTTTTGATCAGTCTCATACAAGAAAATGCTCGTTCTGTTGTTGCTGTAGAAACAAAAAGAGTTAGCACCAAATGAATCAATCTGTCAATCAAGTAGTAGGTTTGTGCTAATCTTGTTTCCACTAAGCGCTCAAGTAATATGGGAATGGAATCAAGATTCTTGAAGGTTGGATTGTGATCCATGTCAATCTTATAAAATCCCAGTTGTTGATTTAAAGCCTACAACTTAGTTGTAGTGGAGGATAAAATTTATCAGCAAGAGTGTATATATCATCAATGTTAAATAGCTTGAAAGCATCACGGGGATCCAATGATGAGTTAAGACGAAAGAGTTCCACAGTTTCATCTGGAAATCTAGTATTTAACTCCCCCAACTGATAATCTATTACCTCATTAAATACATCCATATAATAATAATGCTCCACTGTGATACAATATTTTTGTTGACAAGAACGCCCAGTTCCCATTGTATGATGGACACCCATATCAGGCATACTAATTTCATGTTCTTCACAAAATGATCATACACTTTGTATAAAGTCATCCCAACTATTGTTTCTCAACTCATCAAGCTCCATTTTTGTACTTGTAACCAAATTCAAAGCATTTACAATGTCTTGAGATTTTCTTTGAAGTTCTTGACAAAGAAAATCAGTGAATCTCATAGTTCTGTCTAACAAATTCAAGGCAAAGACAAAGTCAAAAGACGACATATAGAAATTTTAATACCTTTTGCTTCCCCACGAAATTGTGAGGTAGGTCCATTATGACGATATCCTTTAGAAGTGTCTTGGTTGCACCAAATAAATAAATAAAACTCCTAATAGGACTAAAATGTGAGCCCGAACGAGTAGTTCCAGGTCGTTGCAGACATCGAATTTGATTAGCCCCTTTACCTGTTCCAAGTCTTTTAGTTGCTAATAAGTCTTCAATTTCAGTTTAATAGGAAACGTATGAACACTCTACATATCAGTTACATTTCGAAAGAAACATGCATAATGTATTACATCCAAATATTAATGGCATTTTTTTATTATTAATACAAAGCTGTTGAAGGGCATCAGTAGATGAGAAGTTCATGGCATCACTAGGTGCATTGGAAGTCTGTTGGGACAGACTTACCACAGTAATTCAAAAGCAAGCTTAAAGAGACTGGCACAATAAGATTGATGCCCAAAATATTGGCCTTAATGGCAGTGCAAAGGCACGCAGCAGCATCAACATAAAAAAGACACGCAATGAGGCTACAAGAAGGGGTCTTTGGTGGGGTCCTCATGACAATCAGCACCAAGTCATTCAACAAATCGCCACATACCCCCATCTTAAGGGTGTCCTTAGGGCAAGAGGCTTTAGGAGGGCTGGGGGTTGAGGTTGGGAAAGGGTGTTTTGGTGTTGGGGTTGAGGGAGGAGGGTGTTTTGGGGTTTTTGGTGGTGTTGGTAAACACTAACAATTAGGAACGTGATCATGATTCCTAGCTTATAACCTGAAATGAAACTGTACATAATCTTCTTATTTGCAGATATACTTCATTCTCCTACTGTAATTAATACAACAACAAACTTGAACACACATATATATTATATAGAAAATTATATATACGTATCTAATAATCATAGATGAGGCAAAGTAGTGATGGTTTTTGGGACTAGTTTTCCAGGTTGGGAGTTGTTGATGTGGCTGCATTTTCCACTATCCTTGGGCTTCAAGTTGAATCAATTTTCTTGTCAAGGGCTTGTTGAGGACAAGATCAAGGCTTGCGACCTTCGTGATCATGATGATGATGATGATGGCGACGTCTAGCAATAAAAGCTCTAGCCATGGTCCCCAAACACAAACATTAAACCAAAATTTACCATACTCTTTTTTTTTTCTTTCTCGAATTTAATTTGGTCTCAAAGCTGGATGGTGATGGAATAGTTCAAAGGAAGTGAGGAAAAAGAAAGAGTTCAAAGGGTTTTTATATGGAGTATAGAGTGCTGGCCAAGACTTTGTTTTTCATGATTCACATATGGGATATGGCTATTGGCTAGACCTTTCGTCAAGTTTCAACAACTCAAAACAATTATATAATGGATACCTGAAATTGGTGGGCTTGAAATGTATAGGCTGGCCCCACGAAATGGTGTCTCTATCTCTTGTAGTTGGGTCTTATTTCTGGGATTTGCAAGGACTTCTTCATGATGGAAAGATCATCTAGCAACTAGATACATTAGGGTTTCTTTAGCATTTCGCTAATTAAAAATATAAGAGTTGTCGTCTAAAATCAGGATAATAGCATTAGTAGTGTCATGATTCCTAGCTATTTAATGCCAACTCTGAGAGAGAGAGAGAGAGAGAGAGAGAGAGAGAGAGAGAGAGACGGATGTTTTTGCCGGTAAAGCAGACATGAATACTAAATCTAACAAACCAAAATGTGATCAGATTTTTCTCACTGTTAGCCACAAATGGAAAATATGCTATACCAACCACCCAATTGATTGGGAAAAAAAAAAAATAACTTGAGCCCCATCCATGGACCACACAGCCCAATCTCAGCCACAATACTAACAATGGGTTGTGCCCACGTCTAGCTGTGCATGCAGCTGAGATTCACATTACATTAATGTTCAGAAATCACTCACACACGCGTGAGCAACTTGCCTTATAGCAAAATCATTTCTAACAATTTGATTATGTCATATTTCTATAAGTATTTACGGAGTGTCTAGTGATTGTTCCAATCTGTGATTTGTAGGGCGACAATAATGGGCTTTAGGGGTTTCAAAGCAGCCGCTCTTTTTACCTCCCTCTATTCCAAAGAAGCAAGACAAATGCCCCAGAGATAACCTTAAGTTTGGTGTTTGTGGTAGCTGGTTAGGGTTGGTGACCGACGTTATTGGGACTAAACCCAGTAAGGAATGTTGTATCCTAATAAAAGGTCTTGTAGATCTTCAAGCTGCCTCGTGTCTGTGCACTGCTATTAAGGCCAATGTCTTGGGAATTGTCTTGAAGTGCCTCTTGCTCTTAGTTTGTTGTTAATGCATGTACAGGAAAAGTGCCACAAGGCTTTGTCTCTGCTTAATTAGAAACTGCCTACCTTATTGATGTACTCATTGATATTGCCTATTTGATGTTATTGGATTAAACCAGATTAATTTATGCTGTGTAGTTTTACAAAATGCATGGTAGAAGCAAGAACTCTATTGAAAATGAATGATGTTGCATGTACGTTTCATATTTGGTTTTCCTAAAGAAATAAAGTCAATAATTCTAGCTATATAATTATATCATCCTGCCAACTTAACTAAAATCACACATTTAAGGATGAATTTTACTATCTATAGACACACGAGTGTCAATCGGGAAAAACAGTGTTTTCTTGCCAGCCTTATCTTGCCGAATGGTGTATCATGTTGTCATAATTTAGACCATGCATTCAAGCAAGATATTAAAACTTTTTTTTTTTCCATTGTCGGTAGTCAAAATGATAGATATATATAACTAATAATCATGTTAGGCGCATTTAATTTTCATTGTCTAATATCAATAATCAAAACCACTAATGCTCAAGAGTGAAACATGCATTATGTTTTTTTTTATTTCGAAGGAAACATACAAACATTCCGAGCAGGGAACACTCTAGATATCAGTTATATTTCGAAGGAAACATGTATTACAACCAAAGCTTAATGGCATTTTTTTCATTGACACAGCTTAGGAAGGGCAGTACTAGATGAGAAGGTCATGGCACCTCTAGGCGCATTGGAAGTTTGTTGGAACAGACTTACCACAGTAATTCAAAAGTAGGCTTAAGGAAACTGGCACATTAAGATTGACTCCCAAAACGTTGGCTTTAATGGCAGTGCAAAGGCATACAGCAGCATCAACATCAGCAAGACCTGTAATAAGGCTACAACAAGGTGTCTTTTGTGAGGTCCCCACAACAACGTGCACCAAGTCATTCAACAAATCTCCACATACCCCTAGCTTAAGGGTGTCCTTAGGGCATGCTTTAGGAGGGCTTGGGCTTGGGGTTAAGGGAAGAGGAAGTTTTGAGGTTGGGGTTGGAGTTAGAGGAGGTTGTTTTGGGTATGGAGTTGGAGTTGGGGGAGGTTGTTTTGGGATTGGGGTTGGAGTCGGAGGAGGTTGTTTTGGGGTTGGGGTTGGAGTTGGAGGAGGTTGTTTTGGGGTTGGTGTTGGTGTTGGAGTTGGGGGAGGTTGTTTAGGGGTTGGGATTGGGGGAGGTTGTTTTGGGGTTGGAGTTGGAGGAGGTTGTTTTGGGTATGGAGTTGGAGTTGGGGGAGGTAGTTTTGGGGTTGGGGTTGGAGTTGGGGGAGGCTGTTTAGGGGTTGGGATTAGAGGAGGTTGCTTTGGGGTTGGGGTTGGGGGAGGTTGCTTTGGGGTTGGAGTGGGAGTTGGGGGAGGTTGTTTTGGGGTTGGGATTGGAGGAGGTTGTTTTGGAGTTGGGGTTGGGGGAGGTTGTTTTGGGCTTGGTGTTGGAATTGGGGGAGGTTGTTTAGGGGTTGGAGTTGGGGGAGGTTGTTTTGGGGTTGGTGTTGGAATCGGGGGGGGGTGTTTTGGGGTTGGGGGCGGGGGTG